TAACAAACAACTCTTTACACAAATGAAACCACACTCCTTTATACATATACTCTCCTTTTCACCAGACATATATATGCTGTCTTATGTATATATCCTGCCTAGCAGGATTATACCAGCTACTGCTGCAGTAAGATATGCACGACAAGTAAGAAACGCGCCCTTCGAAGCCATGATTGGCGTTGCTAACCCGCTTGTTTCTCAGACAAGCGAATAGAGGGTATCGATATCGGTATTCGGTATTAATATAACCGACGATAATATATCCTCATATCGCTCCCCATTTGGGAAGGGGGGGGGGGGGGGGGCAATTTGCAGACGTTACCCTCCCCTTGGCCCCCCTTACCTCGGACCAAACACTAGCCGGGCTAAGGGAAGGGTGGTGATAGATATCACCCTTTCTTACGTTTTCCTTTGTCGAGAATATGTTGGAAAACTTGATATTCCGGATTCCATTATATTTGGGTATCGAAAAAATCGATATCACCTCCAATTTTGGAGGTGAAATAAGGGCATCACCTCTCGTATCACGAGAGGTGCCGGGGGGGCACACCATTGTCGGTGCCCCCCCGGCGCCCCCGGCCGAGCCATGAGGTTCCAGAAAACCGACAAGATCGGAAGAATTAACAGGAAACACACACTTCCAGCCGAGGGCATGGGTCCCCCTACCATGGGGGGAAAGGTACGTATACTCGCGTTTTCCTCATAGTATTACTGTGCAACTAATAAGCCAAGATGGTAGAAAGACCAAGTACCGTTCAATAAAGGAATAATGGGAATATATCCACCTGGATAAGAGGTCCCTCCGAGGACAACCTCGGAGGTGATTGTGTGCCGGCTCGTCCTTCGTCCCTCACCCGAGGGACGAGCCGGCGATGGAATAATGTCAAGGAAATCATTACCAGAATGATACTGGCCCCCGTTGGATGTATCAGCTCATCCAAGGTTGACCCCTTTCCAGGGGGGTCAATAATGACCTCAAAAGAGGTCCAGCAGTAAGTTAGCCCTCTCACGTCCACGAAACCTGAGAGTCATTCTAATCGCTTTTCAACCTAAGGCCGAACTCGAGCGCATGAGGAGGATGAGCGTATTGGGCTTTTCATTATATATATAATATATATAAAAAATAAATATATAAATAATATCCTGTTGTAAAACGTATTCCTGTCATTAGCTAGCAAAGAATCAAAATGTTGTTGATGTCGAAGCTGGAGTAAAAGGCGCTAGTCTTCTTTGGGTCTAGTGCGGGATCTCTCCCACATGAAGCTTTTCTATGCAAAAAGCGAAAGTCGAAAGTTGATATCAGAGAAGAAGAACAGGAAGACCAAGAAGAAAGCTCCGGCACGTCTAGATATCTGCGTTGTGGGAGGTGTCTTGTGGCCGAGCCTGTTTATTTGTTTATTTGTTCCGCCTGGGACTCCCTTTATACTGTTATTCTTTTATAATCGAGCTCGCCGTTGCCCAAGATGCAGGCCCCTGTGGTTGTTATGAGTAGGTCCAAATACTCCCGGGCTTCTGCCTGCAGCCTAATTTCTCTCGTACCATTGCTAATATCAGGCTCCAGATACCCAGAATGAAGGGAGACAGATTGGCCGAAAGGCACAGATGTCAAATATCGCAGCTGCCAAAACGTGAGGAAGCCTGCCGCGAACCCCTCTATACACGATGATATGGTTACTAAACGAAAAGGGGGGGATATGTAGTGTTGCTGATATTATCCGATCATGTCTGGGTCCGAAAGCCATGCTTAAGATGCTTCTTGATCCCATGGGCGGAATTGTTTTGACCAATGATGGCCATGCAATCCTTCGAGAGATTGAAGTTGCTCACCCCGCCGCAAAGAGCATGATCGAGCTGAGCCGGACACAAGATGAAGAAGTTGGCGATGGAACTACGACTGTTATTGTGCTTGGTATGTCTTTTTTTTAGTGTATCTTTTATGATCTTTGGGGCTGTACTAACTACCCTACTCTTTGTAGCCGGAGAAATCCTGGCGCATGCGCTTCCTCAGCTCGAACGCAACATCCACCCTGTTCTCATAATCTCTGCCTTCAAGCGAGCCCTTTCCGACGCTCTTGCCATAATCGAGGAAATATCCCTCCCTGTCGAAGTGGACGATGACAAGGCCATGTACAGTCTAATACAGTCGTCGATCGGAACCAAATTCGTCTCCCGCTGGTCAGAACTCATGTGCGGCCTAGCTTTGAAGGCAGTGCGCACCGTATCCCTTGATAACGGCAGTGGTAGAAAGGAAGTTGATATTAAACGATATGCGCGTGTCGAGAAAATCCCCGGCGGCCAGATCGAAGACAGTGAGGTTATAGATGGTGTCATTATCAATAAGGATATCACCCATCCCAAGATGCGAAGAAGGATAGAAAACCCGAGAATCATCCTTCTTGACTGTCCATTGGAGTATAAAAAGGGAGAATCCCAGACCAACATTGAAGTCAGCAAAGAGGACGATTGGAATAAGATTCTACAGATCGAAGAAGAGCAGGTCAAGCGCATGTGTGATGCCATCATTGCTCTTAAACCTGACTTGGTCATCACTGAGAAGGGTGTCTCCGGTATGATATTCTACCTCTGTAATTGGATTTACCCGGCTTTGACGTGACTAACTTCCCCTAGATCTGGCGCAACATTTCCTAGTTAAGCAGAATATCACTGCCCTTCGACGTGTGCGAAAGATGGACAACAATCGCATTGCCCGTGCTACTGGAGCTACCATCGTCAACCGTGTGGATGACCTACAGGAATCCGATGTTGGAACCCAGTGCGGTCTCTTCGAGATTGAAAAGATCGGCGATGAATACTTCTCGTTCCTCAGAAAGTGCAAGAACCCGAAAGCCTGCAGCATCATCCTCAGAGGTCCATCCAAGGATATCCTCAACGAGGTCGAGCGAAACCTTCAAGATGCCATGTCCGTGGCCAGAAACGTTATCTACCATCCTCGCCTATCCCCTGGTGGAGGTGCCACTGAGATGGCCGTCTCCGTCAAGCTTGCTAACCTAGCCAAGTCGGTCGAAGGTGTTCAGCAATGGCCGTACAAGGCCGTCGCCGATGCAATGGAAGTCATACCGCGAACTCTAGTCCAGAACTCTGGTGCCAACCCAATCCAGGTCCTCACTGCTTTGAGAGCCAAGCATGTCGAAGGCCGCAGCACTTGGGGTATCGACGGTGATACCGGAAAGCTTGTTGACATGAAGGAGTATGGCGTATGGGAGCCCGAAGCCGTCAAACTGCAGAGTGTCAAGACCGCCATTGAGGTATTTTTTATCTTTCTTCCTATTTCCCCTAGTTTTTACATAAGTTGCTAACGTACATTTCTTTTCTGTTAGTCTGCATGCCTGCTACTGCGTGTTGATGATATCTGCAGCGCTAAATCCCTAAACCAAGCTGCCAACATGGGAGGCGGTGAAGAGTAAACGGTCTGGAGTATTTTCATCATTGGGATATGTCGATCTGGCACATAAAACCGCCGTCAATACATAATGCAAGGAAAAAAATTAAACGGAATAGAGAAATCAATTGGCTGCATGCATGTGTGCATGGCCGTGTCATATCAAAAACTGAAATTCGCCTGGGTATCATATCATCTCTTTATAGTACAGCGTCACCCGTCTAGACCCGCGTATCAATCCTCATCATGTATAATTACGCCGGGAACCTCGCCGTTCTCATGTCCGCCTTCCTTGCTCCCCGGCACAGCAGCATCCCCTATTGTAGCACGTCCCTTGACAGCCGCATCAGTAGCTTCGTTTCCTCCATCATCATCATCACCACCACTCTTTCCCTTCTTCCCCTTGCCTTTCTTTCTCTTCTCTCTTTTCCTCCTATTCTTCTCTGTCTTCTCTTCATCCTTCCGCTTAGCTTCTTCCCTCGCTTTATTGAATTCGATCTCGTCCTTCTCCTTCTTCAGCTCCTCCTCCATAAGCTTTATCCGTTCATACTCCCGTCTCCTACTAGCCTTGTAGACATGGAACTCTCCCGATCCAGCTCCCGCAGAGGATCCCTGGACATTCGCTATTATTTCCGGCGGTGGAGCAAGGGTCTTTGGTTTCGATGGTTCCGGTAACCTGATTTCTTTTGAGGGGTCTTTAAACAGCGTTTTTATCTCCTGTGCTTGCTCAGAGAGAGGGGTAAGGGCCCGCCGTTTCGTGGGACGTTTGCTTCGGGAGTCGTGGCTTGTGGGAATGGATTCTGGGATCGGCTCTGACATCGTGGTGATGCCCAATAATAGTGGTCGTTTGGCAGGCTTATGGGTTTGGTATCTCCTACGCCTTTCCTTTCTGTTGTATGTGTAAATGCCCAAGTGTATCTTATATTCGCTTTAACAAACGGATACGTGAAATAGCTCGGAACTGTCCGCATAAGCTGCCTGCCGCGTCCTGCGTCGAAGAAGAAAGTTGAAGCTCGTCGAAGTTGAAGTTGAATCTTTTTCTACTTTTCAACTTCTTCAAAGGCCAAATTCCCAAGTCACGTGATATATTTTAACAAAATATCCGTACGCAGTTTGTGAATTGAATATTTTGATTAAACATGAAGTGAATCAGATTATGACAAGTTTGATAGTGAAATCACGTAAAATACGGACTAGATGCCGTGAAGTTATTTGTAGACTTCCCTGGGAGCAAGAGAGATGCGTAGTTATGGTGTATTAACCTTCTACTGCAGAGCAAACATCACAGGAGTATTCCTACAAGCCGCCGATGCTATACTGAACAATTCCAAGTGTCAAATATTCTAAATCAAGCCCTGTTCATGCGTCCAAATACCCGGCATTGAATAGGCGAGCGTGCGTAATAATCGCAAGGGTTGCTGCTATACATCCGTCGAGCCCTAAATGTTGGTCGCAGACCACGAAAGAAAGCAACATCGCAGTCTTTCAACTTCTCACGCTTGACATCATCACGGCCTGCAATCGTATTGTGCCTTCGGACTGGTAGATCAGTATGCCAACCTATCGTATTGGTGAGTAGACTTATACCGTTACTTTCTGGATGCTTGAGCTGCTTGTTCTCGAGTTGTATACGACGCGCCGTGACGCGACCCGCAAGAGCTATGCTAACATCGAAGCACGACTAGAGCTGGCCAGTACTGGCAGGGCTGGCTGCAAGAATAAAGAATGCCAGGAGAAAAAGGAGAAGATCCTTAAGGGAGAGCTGAGACTAGGCACATTCGTTGACACCGAGCAGTTCCAGAGCTGGGCGTGGAAGCACTGGTAAGTTGTGCTATCTACTGTCGTGTTTGGTCATCGCGCGAATACTGATTCGTGATACTAGGGGGTGTGTGACTCCAAGGCAAATTGCGAGTATCCAGGAGATCGTTGATGAGAATGGAGACCGTGACATGACGCTTCTGGATGGCTACGACGAGATCCCAGCCGACAGCCAGAAGAAGGTCGCCGATGCCGTCGAACAAGGCCATGTCGATGACGAGGACTGGAAAGGTGTATGTTCGTCATTTGCCGTATAGGTTTTCTTTAATGACGTATTATTATAGGATGTGGAGATGAACCGCCCTGGAAAGGTCGGGTTTCGAGTGAGAGCGTCCAAGAAGAAGGTAGGCATCATTATATCCCACACTTATCTAGATATATATATATATATATATACTTACTCTGGTGTAGAATCAGAAGGACGAAGACGAGGACGAGGATGAGGATGATAAAAAGAAGAGTGGCAAGACCAAAAAGGCACCCAAGCAACAAAAAGGCAAGAGGAAGACTGATGAAGCTGACGAGGCCGAGGAGCCAGCCACTAAAAAGGCCAAAACGAGTGCCAAAGCTGGTGCAAAGAAGACCAAGGCAGATAAGGCTAAACCACAAGACAGCAAAGAGCCTGAGGTAGAGGAAGAAGCCAAAGACGAGGAAGTTGAGGAAAAGAAGCCTAAGAAGTCCAAGACCAAGGAGGAGAAGGAGAAGAAGGCTACTGCTGCCAAAGAGAAGAAAGAAAAGGAGGAAAAGAAGCCCAAGGAGAAGGCTAAGGGAAAAGCGAAGGAGAAGGAAGAGGCGAAGGAGACGAAGGCGAAGGCGAAGGCAAAGAAAGACGATACCAAAGACACCAAAGAGAAAAAGACGGCGAAGAAGGATACCAAGGAGAAGGAGAAGAAAGAGCCCGAGCAGAAGAAAGATACGAAAAAAGAAGAAGCAAAAGAGAAGAAAGAGAAGAAGCCAGCTGCAAAGGCACCGAAAAAGGCGGCTGACAAGGATGCACCATCCCGTCGAACGAGCGGAAGAGTGTCACGCACAAAAGCTGCTGCCACCTAAGAAGCCCCGCATCAGGCTCCCCCTCCTCTCATTTCTACTTCTGCCGTGTTGTAAGTGTTATATTAGTTTAATCAACTATGCATGTTCTAGCTGGTATAATCCTAATTTTTATACACCGCCACGGCTATTCCCGCGCTTATCGCTCCCGCGTTGCCCCGGCAACCGCTAATGTTTTTGAGGCGGCTCAAAAGTCGCTCTGCCAGCGCCAACTTTTTGATAACTCACAACTACCAAAGCAACTTTTAACGGTCGAGATCGAGTCGCCTCAGAAAAGCAAAAGGAAGGGGAAAAAGAAACGGACAGCAGACATCTAGGTCGACTGGAAATTACATATACGCAGCGATGGAGCGGCCGAAGTCTTCGAGCGGACAAACGTCGCTGTTCCAGGTCTATCTGCGACTACGCCCGCCGATCCAGAACAAACATGATGCAAAACAAGATCCCTTTTTGTCCATTGAGCCTCCTGAGGACGATGAGCCGTTCCCAACTCACATCACAGTCCAGCCGCCGAACGATGCGAGGAAACGGGCCGTCGAGAAATTCGCATTCACCAAAGTGTTCGAGGAAGAAGCTACACAGCTCGATGTCTTTCAGGAGTCTGGCATGCCATCATTGATCAATGCCGTGCTTTTGGAAAACAGGGATAGCCTGGTGGCGGCGCTGGGAGTCACAGGAAGTGGGAAGGTAGGCTGCAACAGGTTCCTGAACTAGTGATTTTGATATTGATGGCATGTCTATATAGAGCCACACGATCCTAGGATCCAAGACGCAGAGAGGTATAACACAGATGTCTCTTGATATCATCTTTAGGTCTCTCGAAAAAACCATACAAGTTCCGGATGATGAAGCAGAGAATCCTCTCCTCGATTCCGTTGCAGCGTCAGATCCGTCAGAAGCCCAGATTTACGCTGCAGACCACTTTCTTGAGATGATCTATGGAGACGGAGATCGAGGACGGATCTCAAGAGCGCAGACACCAATGTCCAGGTCTCAGACGCCCATGGTAGGCCATTCATCCCAACTCAGCATCTCAGCATTATTGGGGAAGAATATACATACATCGGCTTTATCTCATTCAGCACTTGAACAAATACGCCAAAAAGCACATATATACCCCTTTATCCCTCAACTTCCAACCTATAATTCTGATCATAATCAAGACACGTCTTGGAGCCCATGCACATCACCAAAGCCTCCCTCTCAATTGCCCTTTTGGAACAGAAATCACAACAACACATCAAAGAATGTTACTAAACCGCATGTCAAGGATTCATTCATAGGAACAAGCTCGCGTCGCCCCCACCTCCCCCGAGTTAGCATCTTACCCCAAGACCCTGATACGAGTGGCATTGAAATCTCCGTCCCTGAAACCGATGAGCATGTTGTCCTTGTGTCGATGTACGAAGTGTATAACGACCGAATCTTCGACCTCCTCTCTCCAGCCAGCCAAGTTAACGGAACGCGAGCTGCAAATAACCAGAAAGACCGTCGACGACCATTGCTTTTTAAATCAACCGAAGGCTCAACCGATCGTAAAGTCGTTGCCGGGTTACGGAAAGTTGTTTGCTCAACATATGAGGAAGCCCTGATGGTCCTTGAGACCGGATTGACTGAGCGAAGAGTTACAGGCACGGGAAGCAACAGCGTCAGCTCCAGAAGCCACGGGTTCTTCTGCGTTGAAGTCAAAAAGAAGGTCGTGGATAGGAGATATGGTTACGAATCATGGGCAGGACATACATTTACCATTGTTGATCTTGCGGGTAAGTTATTACCTTATACGGGCGACTATACAGGTATACTAACTGCCAATATAAGGTTCTGAGCGAGCAAGAAACGCAAAAACTGCTGGAGCCACGCTTGCGGAAGCTGGTAAAATTAACGAGAGTCTGATGTATCTTGGGCAATGTCTACAGATGCAGTCAGATCTCCAGGATGGTAATAAGGTGCGTTTCGATTCTACATACTTGCATGGGGTTCATCTAATTTTGGAATTATAGGCCCTCGTACCATTCAGGCAGTGTAAACTCACAGAGCTCCTGTTTTCAAATTCCTTCCCATCACCAAACAATGCATCGTCAAATTCACATCCAAGGAATTCCCAAAGGGCCGTCATGCTGGTAATGGCCGACCCCCTAGGTGATTTCAATGCAACCTCTCAGATGTTACGATACTCCGCTCTCGCTAGAGAGGTTACTGTTCCAAGAATCCCATCTATAGCCAGCACGATACTGTCTGCTCCCCCTAGCTCAGCTACGCCAAAGCCTGGCCCTGGTGCATCAAGTAAGGCCCAAGTCGCTTATGCAGACCAGCTAGAACTCGCGGCCTTGGAAATTGCGCAGATAAGTGATGAATATGAAGCACTTGCTGTCAGATTCTCTGAGGAACAAGCCTTAAGAATTGAAGCAGAGTTCAAGCTCAAAGCTGCTGAAGAGCGGTGTCTACTCATCGAACAAGATGTTCGAGAAGAATGTTGGGCTGAGATGGAAGAACGTATGGACGAAGAAAAACGACGGTGGCAAGCTGCCTTGGATGAAGAGGTAATAATTATTCAGTTTCCTGCTTGGTACCAACCCATACTAATGTTCGCTCTAGACTTCTCGAAATGAGAATCATCTAGATATGAAGATTGACATCCTTTCCCGAGGTGTCAAGAGTAAGTGCATATCAAATTCAGTTATATTCGCACTGGAATCAGAGCTGACACCCTCAAGTACACGAAGATCCTACTCCCGATTCAGCTGAAAGAATAACCGACTTAGAATCCGAAAACGATGCATTACGGCGCAAAATAGAGCAACTGGAAAGAGAACTCCATTCTAGATCTCCAACAAAAAAAACTAGATCCAAGAAAAACACTATACCCGGTCGATTTGATTCCACGGATTATAGCTTCATACCCGCTAATGAAAGTGACACTGAGAATACCCAGCTCGACATGAAGAAGTTCAACATCAAGTCCAGCCCACTTGCACAGTCTGGAAAACCGAAAAAGTTAACTACCAGGCAGTGGGATCTAGCTCCCGAAGGCGCATATGACTGAACCTGGGGTTTCCTCGGGTGGACACTTTACGATTTACGATTCCCTGTTTGTTTCATGTATATTCCCTTAACAGCTGTACCAGATTTTAATATGGGTTCTTGGAAATATTGATAAACGGGGGGCACTTCTATGCGGTTGTATAGGGCTTCTGTGGATAATATTAGCTGCAGAACCACTAATAACCACTAATAATTGATATCAAATATACTGATATTTATTTGACAATGTTAATGCTATAAAATATATGCTATAAAGGAGCTTAGTGTATGAATGACCGTATATACGAAGAACGCCTTGTTGATCCGAGTGACAAAATAGCAGAAAGTCATCAGGAGGTATATAATACAGTTTGTGAAAACGGGCTACCATCAATCTTCTGGTAACTCCTCTGTGTCAGATCCATCATCTCCAGCCTCCGCCTCCCCGTCTATCTCCATCTTGGTATCATGTATAGATGGAGCGGGGATCGAATCATTGTCCCCACCTTCACCGCTGGTGACAGTTGATAACTCTGACCCTGCTTTTGGGGAGAGCATGCGGGCCCTGAGGAGGTGCTGGAATATAGGACTGGACGGCTTTAAAGTGTCCCCTGAGCCTGCTTCAGTCTCAAGTTCACTGAGCCCACTCTCTTCTTCCGTGGTATCATGTATGCTGGGATCAGGACCAGACGCTTCCTTATCCTCAATGTTTTCTCCCTCTTTATCCTCTTCCTCAGGGTTGTCTTCCTTCTCCTCCTCGTTATCTTCACCTTCTTTTTCGTCTTCTTCATTATCTTCCCCTTCCCTCTCCTCTTCTTCGTTATTTTCTTCCTCCTTTTCTTCCTCGTTGTTTTCATCCTCTTTTTCTACTCCGTCATTCTCATCCTTATCATCTGCGTTGGCGTCTTCTTTACCTTTCTCCTCCTTGTTTTCATCAAGAGCAGCTTCGGCAGCAGGACCGTTGTCGGTTTGCTCCTCCTCCGTCTGACGCTCTGCCTGGGTTTGCTTGGCCTCGTCCTCAACAGCCTTTGCAGGTTTAGGTGCAGGGCGTGGGGCTTTGGCAGCAATAGCATCAGCCTTTTTCTGCACTTCTTTTCTAGTCACCCCCTTTGCCCGAGGTCTAGACGCTGGTGCTTGGGCAGAAGTCGTGGCTGGAGGTGTTTCTGCCCCATCACCAGAATCACCCGCCATAAGCAAGTGGTCTACCTTCATTCGCTCCCGATTTTCCTCTCCAGCAACTTGCTCGACAAACTGTGGCAGCGTTTTCTCATATAGCTGGGCATATATATCAGCAACGAGATCGTCAAACATTCCTGACTTGATAACGGTTCCGTTCAACTTCTTCAGCTCCACGGCATCTCGCAACAGTTCAATCGTCGGTATCTCTTCTTTAGCTGGATTTTGACACCAGGCATCCAAACGGCCAGAGTAGAGAGTAAAGTCATCGAGACTAACACCCTTGAAGACGGCGTCTTCCTTTCCCTCTGGTATGTTACCTATACGTCGAAGCAACTGCATACTTGTCAGCCAATCTGATCACGAATACAAGAGGCTTATCTGTTTACCTTTATATACGTAATGCATGTATCCTCCCAGAGCTTGGGAAAGTTCAAATAATCATTGACTTTTCGTCTCACGCGACGGACTAACATGTCCAGGTTTGCACGATCATCAAGCTGATCCAGAAGCTGTACGAAAAAGTAAACATATCGGGTAGTATAGACGAAATGTCTTCCGGCTCTCTCGTTTTCTGGCCGCCAGACTTGTACGGTCATAGTCTTCGTGAAGATATGCTGGGTAAGGTCGTTTTTTGCCGCAATTGCGGCCTCTTTGTCTTTCGAGTCATCGTAAATTATATGGGCAGCCTATATAGCAAGATTAGCAGCGTGACCTAACATGACCAAACTAGATATGAAAACAAACCCTTAAAACAATACGATGATGCCAATTGGACTTATCAGCATTTTGAAGCTGTTTAAGAACCCCCAGGATGAATGGTTTCCAGGATTCCAAGTCTGTAGCTGGTGATAACCCTTTAGCCCACGGGGTAGCAAGTAGTTTTTCGCTAGCTTCCTTCGGCTGTTGCATTATTAGTCCATGTAATTGATTAGTACCTGGAATTATGTCCCACTTACATCGAGATCACCTCGTCGCACAAGTTTATGTGTGATTGAAACAAGTTTGAAATGGGGTTCCAGAATCGGCTCTGACGCTCGACCATCTTTCTTTTTCGGGAGAGCATCAATGGCGTCTGTCAAAGAGTCCAGGATATCCGACGGTTCGATGGTTTTGTATCGTTCCTTGAGCGGGTCATTACTGCAATACATTTTCCACAGACACTTGCTGAACATAAAGTGGTTCCTAGGACAAATAATCAGCACACCACCATTCAAGGGATACGTGGAGCCAGGACTTACCTCCAGTTCATCGGATTTTCCTTAGTTGCTTTGTGGAAGAGAAAGCTCGCAAAGTACCATGCAGAAAACGGCTTCATAGCACTGAACGGCTTTCCCTCGTACATCCTTTGATCTGCATCACTGCTGAAGTGTCTCATGAATGGAGATACATCGAATGCACCCATTGATAACGGCTCTCTTGTAGATGCGTAGATTCGAAGGCCAAACTCCGCATATAGCTCAGAAACTTGCTTCTTTTCGCTGGGCTTCAAATCACCCGTTTGGACTGCAGTTGCAACAGCCATAGAATATGCGTGAATAGCTCTGCGCTCTATAGTTGCAAGATCCTCTCTGTCATTGTTGAGCTTTTCTGCAGACCAAGCGACGTCCTCTTCAAGTCTTAGATCATATACTTGAGCAAGTTGATACCATGTTTCCCACCGATCCTTTCCATGTTCTAGATCATGGCGGAATAGAGTAGCAGCGAGATCTAGGTCATCTGTTGGAGTGGGACCTATTTTCTTCAAAGACCGAAACTTGGCGAGCGCCGCGGAACCCAGGAAGGTGAACCAGCCTTTATCAGCAAGTTCGGCACTCCTGGAATATACGGGGATCATAGACAGTCCAGTGATACCTTGTACACAACGGAAAAGATCCAGGGGGTTTATTGGGGTTTTCAAGAATCTAGACAGGATTCTCTTGTTGAGAGGAGTGGAAACCTCTGACTTGCCCGTCAGTCCTATTTGCCTTTGCAGCGCGTCGACAGTCGTTTTTAGATCCGATTTCAAATAATCTTTGATATCCATCCGCTTCGTCTGAGAAATAGTAAAGTCAACTAACTTCAGGGCTATTTCTTGATCGAGAGGCTCATATGGACAGCCATGTTCAAACGAAACATCCAGATGAGGTGAGAATTTGAACTTGTATAAGTCGTACAGCACTTGCGCAAGGTCATCTTCGTAGACGTCATCAGTTTCTAATGTCAAGAGCTCATCCCTCATGAGTTTAACAAATAGATTCTTCGGGTATTTGCAATATGACCGAAGCCCGAGCGCGTTGTGAACAGACCGTAAGAAGTGTATGCGGTCATCCAAGGGGGTATCAAACAAGTCTTTGTTCTGACCAATACCTTCTCTTAAAAGTGCATACTGCACCATCCATATCTTCACAAATAAGCCGCGTAACTTTTCTTTGAACTGTTCCAGGGACTTTGCAGTTGAAGCAGGGCGAACGTCAGCCGGCGTTATTTGGCCAACACGAACCCCATCCTCATAAAAAGCGAAAGATTGAAGGATCCTCGAAAGACGAGCAAGGGAAGACATGGACATTTGCAGGTGGGCCCAGTCGAAACACTCGAAAGAAACCTCCGAGTTGTTAACCACCCTCCTCATGACACTGGTAAGTATATCATCCGCTAGTTTTAGCCACTTCAGCAGGCTAGATCGCCTTTCATTTACAGGAAAATCCATGCGAACTGGGCGACCCAGCTCCTGGACAGCGGTCTCCAGGGCCCGGAAGTGGCAAGAGACGACTTTCGTAGGATAGTCGATGGAATCATATGCCTCGCGAAGACGGCGCCAGAGAAACAACTTGAGAGTCGCATCACCTTGGTTAAGGAACTCTATCAAATTCTGCACGGTTGTTGAAGGCTCGATATTTTCAGATACGTTGCCGTTTTCGTCGGTATACCTAACTGCAGACGGGTCCAGGACCGGCTCTATAGTTTCAATCAGATGCACGGGGTCATCTTTTCCGGAGCCAAATATGTCCGTGAAGAAGCTCATGGCCTTAAGGCGAGAAACCTCTTGGTCAATTGCAGTTGTAGATATCTCTGGCATGGTGGTATTATTTGCCAGTGTAATAACCGGGTCCCCCAACGATACTAGAGCGCGTCGAATATCACCGAGGCATGCCAAAACATACTCCCTATCCTGGTCGTCTAGCATATTTTCGTGGAAAGTTGTGGCCCATAGATGTCTTAGAACAATGGCGGTCTGTCGATTGTCCACGGCACATAGGTCAAGATAGTAGCTGATGTAACCGCGCGTAAGGGCCCTCCATCGGTTGAGCCTATCCTGCTGTAGAACGGCCGCTTCCTGGTCCTTTTCCTTCTGGCAGATAATCGAATCATATATATCCAGATGTAGCTCGTAAATGCTTTGTGACATTTCCACGGCGGTAAGGTCATCCGGTGTGAAGGAGTATGGTGTTTCGTGCGCATGCGAAAGGATCCGTTTCTCCAGGTTCAAGGCGAATTCTCTCATCCTGGCATAGACAAATCCATCTAGCCGTACCAATATCTGCGTAAGGGTGTCCCGGGTGCTTTGCGGCATCCGTTGCGTTGCATAGCTAGAGTCCGTGACAGTGGATATGTCGTGTCCGAGAGATTGTAGGTCGGGTTTGAGATACTTCTCAAGCCACTTGAAGGCAACCTCCTGTATAGTTAGATTGCTGCTATTGACGCTTTCTGCAAACTGCTCCAAACTGTCATTGTCAACCAAATCTACCTCTTGTTCTGCCTTTGCGCCAACTTGTTTGGAGTGTTCAAGGAAAACACTGAGACCGGATTTCCTCACGCCCTTTAACCCATCCTGGGTATCTGCAAATATGTCACTGTGCAATGCTATTTTCCCAAAGGCATCACTCCAATTCTCAACTATGTACCTCAAGTCACGTACGGCCAAGGTTTCAGGGGTTATTTCCGTGGTATCTTGATCGGATTCAGTAGAAGCGAGAATCTGCTTTATTTGATCGATACTTCCAAGCTCCTCAACGCCGAATTTTGACAGAAGATCGTTGGCGGTGCTAAACATCCACTCATCGGCGTGGGTATAGACCTCGAGCCTATCTTCGAAATACCTTGTCTGGTCAAAAATCACTTCCTCTGGCTGTGCCTGTGTGTCGGCAATCGACTCTCGCGCCCTGATACGCTTGCTCTTTGTCCTTACTCCGTCTGTTGGTTCTTCATTGAAGATTGAGGCTGAAGAACGCTTTCTTGTCTGAGGACCAGGCCGTGCTTCTATATCATCTGTGGGCTCATTCGATTTTTCACCTTCCTCTTTGTCCTTGTCAACGGTATTTTCATCTTCATTTTCTTTGGCTGTATCATCTTGAGCATCTTCGCCAGTATTTCCATTCACTTCCCCATCGCCCTTGGGTTCTGGTTTTTCATCAACTTGGCCGGAGTCCTTCATTTCAGTATCTTTAGCAGTAGCTTCTTCAGTGCTCGCTTTGGGTTTTGATTCTGCTTCACCCATATCGGTGGAAGCAGAGCTTTTGTGCTTGGACGGCCTTCGGCCCTGGATGATTGGGAGAGTTGCCGCAGGAGATGCCATCGTGATATCCGAGTCTGCTAGACAAATTTGCAGGTTCCCCTGTACTTCGGCTGTGCCCTGATCAGAGCCATCCTTGCTTAGAAGCTCAAGGAGCTTTTCACCTAGAGCGGCCCATGAGTTGGCGGAGGGGGTGACAGTAAGGCGTTTAATTTTAGGGAAAGCGAGTCCACAGGATATAGAACCCCCGTTCAGCTGCTTCAAGGCGGAAGGGAGGTACGGAAATGGATCTATCTGCCGCTGCAAAAAATTGAGCAGAGCTTTCCTTGGTTGTTTCTGCGGCAGCTGTGCGAGTGATAGGGGATCGTGGAGAGCGGTGAAAAACTTCCGCAAATCGCCCACAGCACCGGCTTGCTCAATGCCTAGCTGTTCAAATCCATCGTCGATACCATCACCGTTCCCTTCAAAAACGCTCTCCAGGCAGAATCTCGAGATGCGGTGACTTCTGAGGGCATCCCCAACCCTACCACACTTTCGCCACAGTTCAAGATCGGTATCATCGCGCTCCAGAGCGTCCGCAAAGTGTCTGATGGCTGATTCAGTGGAAGGAGTGGTGTCAGCTATGTCTCCGCCTTGCTCCCATGCATGTCGAACGGTGTCCAGCAAGAATTGGCCGTAATTCTTGTATGACAGGTACAGAGTTTGCGGCAGCGCACTGGCAGCAGTCTCGGTCTCATCCACGGCAGCAACCGAGACGGCCGACGGCTCGTCAACTTCTTCTATGAAACCATCGTCTGATATGTCTGCTCCGAGATCTGTGTATTGCGGGAGCTTGAATATCTCTGACTTGAAGAGCGCGTCATAAGCTTCTGCGGCTTCTTTGTAGTGCTTTGGCCCCAGCGAGTGGAGTTTGAGGGCAGTCTGGTATAGCTTGAGGGCCTCTTCTATCTGGATCTCGCGAGTGTCATCGATCTCTTCCTCCGGAGAGTCATCGGCCTCTATGTTCAGGGCTGCAAAGGTAGACATGGTCGGTTTCCCCCTGTGAGAGTCCCCTGATATATAATAGGTCCAGCCCGGGGCCTCCAAGGGTATAAGATAGCAGCAAATACGAACCAAAACGCCGATGAAGAAGCTGGCCAGAGACAATAAGGCCGCCTTTCTACTCTTCTGCCGCCGGAGATCGCCCTTGTTCGAAGCTGTCGGCGGCGGTTGTTGGCTTGTAGAAGCGCAGGCCTGCAACGGGCGGAGATGAAGCTGGGAGGTCGCGAACTTCCCGATCGGGCATGGCGCGAGATGCGTGGATGCGTAACTAAGTTACATAACCTAAAGGAAAAAAGCACCGCCTCTTCGCTCGCCTGCAGGGAAGTAAATATGAACTAACTGGCCAGCGGACAACAACCAACAACGACCTCTCCCAACAGCGTCAATCCTGCCCGGCCGGCTTCACTATGCCGTTTAATTAAGTCACTGCTCGAAGAGAAGAGGCATTCAATTCTGCTATTCAAGCGCTTCTCCCGTCTTTCTTTTGCCTACACCTAGAGCTGCTCCTTTTAGGGGTGGGCGACTAGAGACTATGGTTTCGCCAGCTGTTCCAGAGTAAGTGTCGGCCAGCTGGCATGCGTTGAGCTATCACTTGTTATAATGCCATGATGGGGGCTGTTACAGATAGGTTTTGTTGGCTGTATGCTAATGGGAATTGCATGAGACAGGCTTATCGAGGAAGACGATGCGCTCTACTCGTCCATAGATGCCCGCACGGAATCCCTACAGAACCTGAGAGAACTCGGACCCCCAGATCTCGTTCACCTAGTGAAGCAGTCGAAATCTGCTGCAAACACTCAGGTTAGATGCGCCGTTCCTAGCTCGTTGCAGCTATCCTTCAAGCGACTATTTCTTTTTAGGGCTAACTGAGCGAGTGGTGGCCTAGACCGGAGTATATCACCATGTAACGGGAATAGATGCGTCTTCATCAGCCAGCTTAGCGGCCTACGTGAACACTCTTACCTACTCGCCGATTGACAAGCAACATAAAGTGGTTGCGGGAATATACTGGTATATACTATATATCCATCAGTTATAGTCCCTCCGGTGTCGATACAAGCCGCTAACGTACGGGATAGCTGCTACAATGCGTTCTCTCATGTAGATATGAGGGTTGAGGTGAAGATCCCGGGAAGTCTGGAGAGCTATTGCATCGACGAGCGAGGGGACAAGCGTGTTGCAACTGAAGCGTTATGGCTGGAGACATTCGTGTGCGGCGTGCTAAGGTCCTACTCCTATGCGGATGACGGAAGCGGGGATGCCATCAAGAAGATCGTGGGCGTGAGACGGTTCAACCCGATCACCAACACGGAGATGGAACACAAATTCCTCGATGCCGCAGAAAGGCTCTTCTTCAACGGTTCGTTATCCTTCAAATATGTCATGAATTGTGTGCAATTGGCTAACGGCGGACCACCCCCTATTTCTTTTCTAGGCCGACAACTTAGTTCTGACCCTGAAACCCAGGTCCCCAACACAGTCACCAACCATCTTACCTCCGGCCTTTTAAAATACATCAATACAACGGGACGATATGTGTCTGGCATTAACCTGTTCGAGAAGCTCCGAGCACGAGAAGTAGAGGTGTCATCTCTTCTTGCACGGGTTCTGATATCAGCCGATGAAGAGGTGCAGGCTGTTCGATTGATGCACGATGCTCTCAAGGATATACCCATGGACTATGCTCTGCTGGACTGCCAGGCTGCGTTCTGTCAGAGCAAAGGCGAGCATGAAATGGCGCTTGAGTGCGCCAAACGCAGCGTGACCGCGGCACCGAGCGAGTTTAGCTCCTGGATCCGGCTGGCGGAGGTATATGTGAGCCTTGAGAAGTGGAATTTAGCACTGTTGACCCTGAACTCTTGTCCGATGTTCAACTACCAGGACCGAGACTCACCGCGGATGCCCCAGCCAACCCGCGTCATCCTCCCTGTGCTTCCCGAAAGCCTGCTGGACGAGATTGATGAGGGTCAACCCAAGGAAGGCACTCCGCATGACATGGTGCATCCAACTCTACGAAAATTGCATGCAGGCAACTATCAGGGAACGTTTTTGAAGGCGTACAACCTGCTGACCAAGATTGCCGCAAGCATTGGATGGGATCAGCTCCTGAAGATCCGAAGCGAGGTGTTTGTCATGGAGGAAGAGTACAGGGTGGAACGACAGACGGCAACCCGACCAGGAAGCACCGCTCACAATGCCAGCACAGTAGCCCTACATGACGGCGCAAGCCAGGCTACCAGGACAACCCAAGAAGACGATGACGGCGACGACGAGGAGGACGACGACGATGGTGACAAGTCTGAGAATGAGCAGGGAGCCTCGGAGCAGAATGGAGGTGAAGGCGGCGAACCCAAGCAGTCTTCCGAGCACCATGGGATCGAGAAACCCAACCAGACAGTCGCCTCAGAGGTAGTCAAGTCTGGCAACGACGATGTACGTTTTACTCTTCTTTTTTCCCGACTTATATTGACAGAGATGAAGGTGAAATGCAATGCTAACTTGAACCAAATTGCAGCAGGAAAACACCAATTCCACGTCCCAGTTCCACAACAAACGTCTGTGCGAGCGCTGGCTGGACAACCTGTTCATGGTGCTGTACGAAGATCTACGGGTGTACACCATCTGGCGGTCTGAAATGGCGCAGTCCCGGCAACAGTCCCTTGACTACAAGAAATCGCCTACCGAGTGGGAGATACTCGGCGAACTGGCCGAGCGCCTGCACCACCTGCCCGAGGCCATCGAGGCGTACAAGTACTGTCTGTCTGTGCGGTTCTCGCCCAAGGCCTTACGGGGTATATTGAAGATGTACGAGCGCCAGAACGATACGCGAGGCATGCTCAACGCGTTGATCAGGTTGATAGCCTGGCAGTACCGCTGGTACTCTGAGGTATGTGACCACCACCCAGTCTCCTCCTATCCTAGGCTGTCTTATATTGATGGCGATGCTAACGTGAGCAGTTCTCCCCGGACCTGTTGTACATCATCCGCAAGCTGATCGAGGAAGAGGGCGCGGTCAAAGTCCGCAGCATCGTGCAGGCGACCAACCTGCCTCAACCCATCCTCGATCTCACGCACCAATACTGCCAGCTCTGCGCGACGTTCCGAAGCAGCGGAAGCGACGGCTAGACTGCTTATAAACTCGTCTCTTTTTTAAACTTATATGGATTGTATCTATGTGTCTGTCTATCTGCATGCATGAGTTACTTGCTCTATACATAGCATTAAATGCCATGATGTTCACTCTCATTGGCCGTGCAGCCTCAGGGCGCCAGAACGAACGAATAGTGACCGTATCCCAGGTACTTACGGGCTAATAGTGTACGCATATCGAACGGCAGGGGAGTGGGGCGATATAAATATAAAAAATTCATTTCTTTACATCCGTCCCGTAGTTTTTATCGCCTTTAGCGATGCCGTGAATAGGGGCTCCAGACGAAGTAGACGGATAGCCCATCTACATACTTGGCTCCAAGTCTCAGCACTACAGAATATACGATGATACCCCCCAGATAAACACAAACAAACACTCCTATTGTCCTCCTCTATCAAATACATTTCATAAATCAGCTTCAGGTTCAGTTTTCCCAATCACATTCTCGTACATGCCAGCGAGTTCTCACTCGTTGGCTTCTTCTTCTTCCTCTTCCTCTTCCTCTCCTCCAGCAGCGGCAGCGGTGGTGGCGGCGGCAGCAGCAGCTTTCTTGTCCGAGGCAGGCTTCTCAGCGACTTCATCGTCGTCCTCAGCATCGCCGTCCTTTTCCTCGTCGTCGCCTTCAGCCTCTTCCTCCTCGTCCTTCTCTTCTTCTCCTTGCTCCTGCTCCTCTTCCTCCTCTATTTCCTCCTCATCCTCTTCTTCATCATCGACAGGAGCTTTCTTAGCAGCTGCTGCTCGACCAGTCTTGCGTCGTTTAGCCGATGCTGCACCGCGTTAGCATCCATCACCGTCCCAAGGAACAGCCATCCTGTACAAGGTAAGAAAGTCAAAACTCACGCTCTGGTTCCTCAGCAGGCTCCTCGTCTTCGTTCTCCTCCGACTCCTCTTCGCCTTCAAAGTCAGACTCGTCGTCGAACCTAGCACCAACACCAACGTCAGCATCAGCATCAGCATCAGCATCAGCCTCGCCATCGACGACCATCTCGCAAGAACAGCTAAGACGCGACTTACTCTTCCTCCTCCTCCTCGTCGCTCTGGTCGCTAGGAAGAGCCTGGAGCTCCTCTTCCTCGCCGGCTTCCTGTCGTCTCTTGCGCGTGGTCATTGTGGGTGGTGGTGGTCGTCGTCGTCGTCAATTGAGGGATGCGATCAAGTGAGTAAGTGGTTAGGTGGTTTATCTACAGCTATCGCCTGTCAGCTCAGCCAGATCTAAGTATCACCAACGGGACAGGCAGGCCCACGTCAACGTACCCGTGTATCAGCGTGTCGGAGGCGCAGGACGCAGAGCAGGAGGCGAGTTCAGGTCAGGCGAAAGGAGAGAGAAGAGGAAAAAGACGAAAAGCAGCGCGATCGAAGGCGAAGAAGCAGGCCAGGTCGGGCGCCGTGACAAGACGTGACGCCGCATCCCCGTATCGGCCGTGACGCTGCCTGGTATTGAAAGTAAACACTCAGGACGCTGCAGGCTGGCTCCAGCGCCCTGCGCCCAATGGCTGCGGCATGCTGGCCTGGCTAAATATGATGCGTAACAAACGCCTGCAGGCCTGGCTGGGGTAGCATTAGGTATCTTCGGTGCTGCGGATGCGTGGGAGGATACTTGAAGCTACCAGGGGCTGTCACAGATACCATCCTGTAATCTATCCTGTAATCGAAATACCATTCATACCATGCAAACAACAGCAGACAATTATATACATATATGGAGAGCGTATATATAGAGAGTAAAGAGAAGCCTGGTTGGCCTCGTATGATCCCAATATAAGCTGACAGGAGCCTGTAAGGGTTATCTCTTGGTAGCAACTGGTATCCCTGTAAGCAGCTGGCAAGCTGGCGGTCTTTCGCTGCCAGATGAACGGACACCTTGAGAGAGCGCGGGCATGAGGAGGGCAAGACGGCCAGCAACACACCAGACGGTTGCTCCATATCGGCTATTAACCCATCTGTCTATCTACAGAGTACTAGTTTCCGGACTTTCCATCCGTCAGTCGGCCGTTTTTTTGGGTGGCTGGTGGGTGGTCTATCAATGTTGTTTTGATTATTTGGTAGTTTTGGTGAAAATAATTAAAATTTGATAAAAAATGCAAAAATATATTTTGATATCAACACTTTCGCCCGATCCTCCACCATCACAGCGTGACATGGAGTAATTGCATGTATACCATGTCTATAGAGTATATTAGACCTACCCTAGGATGTAAATCACCCAAGATACTGGAGAGTTTGCCGTGGTGGGTGTTTGCTGCTGCGGCACCGTAGCTACATAGTGATCAGCCGTAGTAACTATATCATGCTACATCTACAGATCACGGAGTTTCATCGGAGTCTACAATACCCACGCCGACAGATATATGGACATCTGGTATATTTCAGCAGTAATAACGGTGATAAGGCAATAGCTGCCAACGACATGTGTCGCCGAAGAACTTCCGTCCCTATAAGATGCCAATGCCAATTTAAACACTTCTCCACGCTGTGCCTGACGCGTTCATGGAGACCAGCAGATAGGCTATTGCTTGACTTTGCTCGCCGGGACGTTGCCACGGCCCAGCTCCAGTCTGATGGGACGGCTATTACATCAAGCGTGCCACGTCGGCAGTCTAATTTGGACCCTTCGAGACTTACTCATGTATGGAGAAGTGGGATATCAAAACAGTTCAATTAGGGGGGTTACCTATCTAGCTAGCTATATATGTAACAACGCCAATGCTATATTATCGCCCATTATGTAGACCCAGCAGATCAAAAGATCAACAAACAGATCGCAAGCTACCTGTTGCTGTTGCCCCTCTCCCGGATCTTCTGCATGTGCATCTCGAACCGCTGCCGGCGCCAGCTGCAGGTGCCCCTGAAGTCACAGGACTGACACTTCCAAGCCTGCGAGACGGGGATGGCGTGAGCAGGCCGTCGGCCGTGCCACCAGGCCAAGCCCTCGATCAGATAGGGGTAGAGTGAGTCTGGGTCGAAGATGAACGAGCGTGTGCCTAGTTGTGTGTAGTTGTGGTTGTGGGTTTCTGACAGGGTGGGCGTGGGCGTGGGCGTGTTTGATCCTGATTCTGCGTCAGTTGGTCCGTCTTCTTTTGATACTGTATTTTCTGGCTCCCTTTCCGTGTCTGTGGTTGGCCTGTCCTGAGCCACGTATGACACTGTTAGTATAGGCGATAGCAGCGTCACCTGGTTATCCCCTGCAGCAGTAGACGTAGACGTAGAAGTAGAAGTAGAAGCAGACGTAGATGGCCGTAAAAAGGTCAGTCTGAGATTCTCCTTGAGCAGATCCCACAGATTCGACAGCGAGTTATGATTCAACAGCACCGTCAAGGAATCCAGTCTATCGCCGACGGAACTAGCATCTCCATCCCCTCCTTCATCGGGCCTCGATTGACTCCACGAACAAGCCTCGTTCTCAAAGTAATCGTCATTGATGCTGCCGACCTGCGCCAGAAAGGCGTCTGACAGCGGGGCATGAGGCTTCAGCCCATACCTCTCCGCAATATCAAACACGCTGACATCCTCTGATTCCACCATGCGGGTCAAGAAGTGGTAATAAAGCTGTAACTGGATGCGCGCAGGCCTGAAAGAAGGTGAGTCAAGCGCAGGTAACCTCGTACCGGTCCTCGCTGCATCTCTCGTCTTGACCTCAGTAATATATATACCCCCTTCCTCGCACAATGGTATAATATTCTGCCCGATGGGCTCGAACGCCCATCCAGCGCGCGTGTTATGCAGTCGTTTAGTCGAGCGTACTCCAGAGTACGACGCGGGCAAGGGATGCAGATCAGCGTGTGTAGTAGGGCGGTCGCGAGAGAGACAATCGATCACGCCCGTCACGATCTCTCCGTCTAGCATCCCCCAGACCTCCATTTCGCGTGTGATACCGGTATCTCGCAGGGTGCGAAGGGCGTATATCACGTTCCAGATGCGCAGGGCCCAGGCGTCTTCCTTGCTGAGCACGGTCACGGGCACAGAGGTGTGTACTTCGTTCTCGAGCTTCTGGTGGACGACTGTGCCGCGTTTCATGGCGGGGGTGGTCTGTTTGGGCCCGTGGAGGAGGGTATATGTGTATTGCAGCTCGCACCAGGCCGGGGAGACGAGGTCGGAGACTGACAGGCCTTTCATGGGGGGCCGTCTGAAGCGTTCGAGGGGTGTGCGAGAGTCTTCCTCTTCACGGACATCGTTGTCTCTATCTCTATCTCCATTGTTCCCATCTGCATTGTCTTTATCTGCGTCTTTATCTGCGTCTTTATCTGCGTCTAGTTGTATGGGGTTGCGAGCTGCAGAGCGCTGTCAGTTTAGCCAGGCCAAGTCAGTAAAGAGTTGGGTTAGGATAGAGAAATCGCCTTACCAGTCTGATGCTGATGTTCCTTGTCCGAGAAGCTATCGTCGTCCGGGAGAAAGGTCTCCTCCAGCGCCAGACGCAGGTATTCATGGTCTTCTATGTCTGGCGCGGCCTGGTGATGATGCTGGCTCGAGCCTGTAGCAGTAGCTGCCGGCTTATCGGCGACGGAGGCGATAAGGTCGGCGAGCAGGAGAGCCTCGTCGGGCGAGATGTCGAGCTCCGTCTCGCTGGCGGAGAGACTGTGGCTGTCATCGCTTGTCCAGCCCTCGAGGAAGTCGAAGGAGGAGGACGACATAGATAGTAGAGTTGAAGTTGATGAACGAGAGAAGGAGATGTTGCTGCCTGCCGAGCTACCAACTCTATGCAACCATCTATATAAATAACCATCTATATACCAATCTATATACAGCCCAAAAACATATATACGCAAAGAGATCTAAAAGAATGTCTAGACAGTGACTTTCCCACGAACGAGTTCTCTCTCTCTAACTTCCTTTGCAGCAAGCTGGTTCAGCCAGGAGAGATAGGTCTGCCACCCGAGGGCGATAGTGCCCGCGAATATGGCTCTGAACGCCGGATCGATGTACAGAAACATAAACGCCGACACGGCCGGCCAGATCTTCGCGCTGTTGACGATGCTGACGGGCAGGGTTACTTGCAGACGCTGGAGGGTTTCGGCCCAGCTGGCGCCGGACAGCAGTGACTGGGCGGAGAAGAAGTAGACGTTGAAGAGGGGCGCGTAGATGACCTGGGAGAGGACGACTTTGGTGGCTATCGAGAGGAACTTGGAGGCGTAGTTGAAGTTGTTGTGGACGAACATGAACCTGTTATATACTGTCAACGGATGATCTTCTCGTCGATACTCTCGTAGATAATACTCTCGTAGGATAATGTTCAGATCTCAGTGGTATGGGTAGGTAGTAGGCTCACCATGTGTAGCTGGGAATAGCCACGAACCCGCCGATGCTGACATGCCGTAGAGTGCGCACCGGATCGTACTTTTCTAGGATCCCTTTCGTTGTCTCTGTACTATCTCCTGATTGTGTCTTTGTCTTTTGCTGGTCATCGTGAGTGGTGTCGTTGGTGATCCAGGGGACGAGCAGCTGGGCGCTAAAGTCGGAGAGAAGGAAGATGACGACGGTGCTGAAGAACTGCGTCCAGTAGGGTCTTTTCTTCTGCTTGTCGCCGTACCAGAGCAGGGCGCGGCCGAGGGAGGAAGCCTGGATGCGCGAGAAGGCGGTTGACAGTACCGTAGATGAAGTCGAAGTCGAAGTCGAAGTGATAGTGGTAGTAGTGGTAGAGAGAGTGGATGGCTTGGGCTTTGCGAGGGAGGAAGAGGAGGTGAAGGCGCGCGAGTGACGGAGCGCCAGGAGACGAGGACGCAGCATCTCAAGGGCACCGCAGTATCAGTATCATCGTCGCTATCTCTATACACTGTTGTCTATAGTGTTGTCTATATTGTCTGGTGGTTATACTGTGGTTATCGTGGTGATGCTGATGACTGGTGAAAAATCTACCGAAACGAGCCGAGTCAGCCGGATCGCCCCATGACCGACCGACACGACCACGACCACGACGCGAAGAATAACAAGAGAAAAATAACAGAAGTAGACGTAAAGTGAGTCGATTAAGATCAAGCTACGTCCTCAGCCTTGCAGCTGGATATTATACACATAAGGTAGTTTTAAAGAGAAAATAACATGATGAAAACGCCTCTGACCAAACCCATGTCCGAGCCTCGATAGTGGTTAAAAAAGAGCAAGAGAGCAAGAGAGAAGAAAAAACATGAACCCCCAGACCGTGTGTCGTTAAAAAGAAGGATATGGCGCGAGTGGTGCTCTAAGAACGCTCACCACGCAGACGGCGGGCGAGGTGGATGTCCTTCTGCTGGATGGTGACACGGCGGGCGTGGATGGCGCAGAGGTTGGTGTCTTCGAAGAGGGAGACGAGGTAGGCCTCGACGGACTCCTGGAGGGCGCCGATGGCAGAGGACTGGAAGCGCAGGTCGGTCTTGAAGTCCTGGGAGATTTCACGGACGAGACGCTGGAAGGGGAGCTTGCGGATGAGCAGCTCGGTGGACTTTTGGTAGCGACGGATTTCACGCAGAGCGACGGTTCCTATTTTTGTTAGTAGGAGATCATGAAAACTGAAGAGTGTTGTATCTACCTGGCTTGTAGCGACGGGACTTCTTGACACCGCCGGTGGTTGGGGCGGCCTTGCGGGCGGCCTTGGAAGCGATGTGCTTACGGGGGACCTTGCCACCGGTGGATTTACCTGGACACAGTCAGAGACGCGACAGAGCGAGAGGGAGAAGCGAGAGGGAGGAGTGAGAATGACATACGGGCAGTCTGCTTGGTTCTGGCCATTTTGATAGATCAGATAACTGACTGAGTCTTGATAGAGGATGGTCCTGAGAAGTTGTTTGTTGATGAAGATGAAGTTGCTTCTGAGATGCTTCTTGATGTCTTGCTGGTGATGAAGAGAAGAAGTTGAGGGGAAGAAGCGAAAAGGGCGAAGATATTTGTAGGGGCGGCGGCTTGGCAGGAGTGCTTAGCTAAGCAGGGTTGATCTGGCGAGACAGAAAGTTGATGAGCTGATGAGACGGCGATTGCGCGTGATCCAGCGGTGATCCAGCAGTGAAAGACGCAGAGAAGCGAAGTCAAGGCAGGATCACTCACTCGGCCCTTGATCTGCCGCTTTTTACTTGCTTGTTGCCCTCGCATCAGCGTCCTGGCGGCCCTTCGCTGGGCTGTCTAGATCAGAACTCGCTGCTTTGGCTGGGTTGATCTGCTTAGTGATCCTGATCCTCGACGCTGATTGGCTGATCCCCAGATCACGCCCGACGCGCCGAAAGTAGAAAAGCTCTCGACTTTTTCTTCAACTTCAACTTCAACTCATAACAACATCTACAACTACAACATCTACTATTACAACATCTACATCTACTCTCAGTCAAGAGTCAAGTCAAGTCTCTCTTCTACTCAAACTTCCACCTCTACATCTACTCATCATGACTGGACGTAAGTGTCTACTCTCAAAAACCGAGTCAGTGAGCCAGGCTAACAAGCTGTAGGAGGCAAGGGAGGAAAGGGACTCGGCAAGGGCGGTGCCAAACGCCATCGCAAGATCCTCCGCGACAACATCCACGGCATCACCAAGCCTGCCATCCGCCGTCTCGCCCGCCGTGGTGGTGTCAAGCGTATCTCCGCCATGATCTACGGCGAGACCCGCAACGTGCTCAAGTCCTTCCTCGAGGGCGTCATCCGCGACGCCGTCACCTACACTGAGCACGCCAAGCGCAAGACAGTCACCTCGCTCGACGTCGTCTACGCTCTCAAGCGCCAGGGCCGTAAGTTTCCCTTTCTACTACTACTCTTCGTTTCTTTCTTATACTAACATCATCTTCTAGGCACCCTTTATGGTTTCGGTGGTTAGACGCTTTTACGACTGGGTTTCTTTCTTCGGGGTTCATCGGTTAAGGGGGTTCTGCTTTTTTCTGTTCGCGTCTGTTCCTGTTCTGTTCTGTTCTTAATGGAGTCTGTATCATATCATACTCATGACTGCTGGCATTGCCAATGAATACTTCTTCAACTTCATCTTCTTCATCTTCACCTTGGCTTCATCGACCTCGCTCTCTCGCTTACCTGAGATTAAGTGAATTGCTTTTTCCGCTCGACTGGCTGGTCATCCCTCCATCCACGGCCACGGTGTAACGCAGCATCCACACTCAACCTGCAACTTTCCTCTCTTTTTCCCCTTCTGCATTCTTCTTCTCCTTGCCTCTTCTTTTTTTCCCTTCTACTTCTCTTCATCTACTTCCTCTTCGTCCATCACCGGTGATGTCCCTCGTTTGATTGAGTCCCTCGCTCTTCTCGTCCACGCTCGTTTCACGCTGTTTCAGGAGCCGTTTCAACCTCGCCTTCTGCGCACCTGGTGGAGTGCCGGGTGGCTCGCCTTTTTTTCGTCTTCTTTTTCTTTTAATCTAATTCCCTGTCCGTCGCTGAGCAGACCAGACTTTATAAGGCTCTCTCTTTCTTCCGTCTTTCAGGTAAAGTAGCGATAGTAGTAACGAAGTGAAGAGGAAGCCAGAGAGAGCCATGATGCAGCCCCGTTCGGCGTCGAGAGGCAGCCAGTACATCCGCGGCACTCGCCCCAGAGACCGCCAGCAGCAGCTCCAGCAACTCCCGCCCTTGCATACCAAACAACACCAACAACACCCCCAGGACGGATACGATGGCAAGAGATACTACAGTCCGCAGCAGCAGCAGCAGCAGCAGCAGTACCAGGCGTATCCGGGCCCTGCATCTGCGTCTCCAGACGTGCCCGAGGACGAGGAGCCCGTCTACTTGCCCTCCATCGGCAACTTCCAGTCGCTGCACTCGCTGGTCAACAACCTCCCGCAGTTCGATACCACCAACACCACCACAACTACAACTGCATCGCCAACATCAACAGCTGCAGCATCAACATCGACAAACCCCTGGGCCGAGAGCTTCTCCTTTCCAAACGGCCGGCCGCTTGCCTCTCGCACCCGACACCTGAATCCCGTTGACAGACCCTTTTCCGTCGCGGTAGGCGGACACCCCCAGCAGCCCCAGCCCCAGCTCCAGCTCCAGTCCCAGTCCGCCGCCGCCTCCTATGCTCCGGCTCCCCGGTCCACCGCTGCAAGGCCCATGTCCACCGCGGCCGCCAGGAACGAGCCCTACCGTCATGCATACTCGGCCTCCTCGGTGCCGCTGGCAGCTTCGGCTTCGGCGGCCTCCTCCTCCTCCTCGGACGCGGCCTCCATCGAGAGACAGGCCTACCAGGCTGTCTCCGCCGTCAGGCGCTCCCCTGGATCGCTGCTCAGAAAGGAGTCCTACCATGCAGCATACCCTGCAGCTGGCCCTGCCCCTGTTACTACTACTTCGACTGCTGCTGTCACTTCGACGGCTACGTCGGCCTCTGGGTCGTCTTCAAGCTCGTCCAGTCTGACCTCCGTCCATCAGATTCCACAGCCAACCAGGAGGCCTCCCCCTGTCCCTGTCCAGGCGCCGGCGTCAACACAGATACCCTCGTACCATGCATACTCCGGTACCAGTCTCGCTGCATCAAACAGTTCGTCCAGCTTGGACAAACAGGGCCAGCCAACTGCTTCTTCTACTTCTACCACTTCTACTACATCTTCTACTGCTTCTACTGCTGCTGCAAGGCCCATGTCTGCTGCTCCAGGTGCACCCAAGACATATCACGCTTACTCGGCCAACCCGTCTGCCTCAGCCAGTACCTCCAGTCTCCCTCAAGCTGATACCGCAGCCTCTACTCGCAGAACTCTTCCCTCTGCCGTCAGAAGCCACTCTTACTACGGCACTGGCTCTCCCGCTGCTCCTCCTGCTGCTCCTCCTGCTGCCGGCGTTGCTACAAACCCAATGGCTTCATCAAGCACCTCCAGCCTCGACCGCCAGGTTCGTCAATCCACCGCCCACAGATCCGCCTCAGTTGCTGCTGCTAGGCCCCGTCCCACTACCTCTGGTTCTGCAGCTGTAGCAAGACGGGCTACCTCCAACGCAGCCGCAATGCCCCGGCCAGCGTCAGCAGTAGCTGTCAGGTCACAATCCTACAACACCCCAAGCGGCACCCCAGCAGCCTCAGACATGGCCCGTCGAAACACCGTGGTCTTCGACTCCGACCTCACCAGGAACAAGAACCCGCAGCCAAACCCGCCCCTGATACCCCTGCAGCAGATGCAGGCAGCTCAGGCTCCGGCTTCCACTTCCACAGCATCACCATCGTCTGCAGAACAGGCATCCAAACAGCCCCGGTTCTACGCTCTCTTGCGTGCCTCCATGGTCGTGCCAGATACGGTCCAGATTGCTACCGTCGAGGAAGAAACCACAGCCATACGCCAGCGATCTGTCTACGGGCCCCAACCGCGGCCGCGCTCCAGCAGACGCTCCCAGTGGCCCAGAGCATCCTCTCGCTTGTTCACCGGAAGCTCCATGACGGATATCACTGATAAAGACGAGGCGGACCCTCAAACTGATGTCGTTGTTGAGAGCCGGGCCTCGATGTCTTGTCCTTCGCTTGTGCCTACCTCGAACCTCGCGTCTGCTTCCTCCACCACGCTCTCTACCCCCAAGACCAGCGGAGAGGACTACAAGTCGCAGTACCGCAAGACCAAATCGTTTCCTCTCGAGGAGCCAAGTGGCACTACAACGCCAACTCAATCCCAAGTCAAGGCATCTGATTCAGCTGCTGCTCCTACCCCTGAGGCACCTCCAGCTCCTACTTCTAAACCACCAGCTAAACCACCATCCATGTCTCGCACAGTGACAGCACCAGCAGACATCCAACAGCCCCAAGCTCGCAAACTCATCAAGCGAAACCCGTCTGCTCCCAAACCACGGCCAAATTCCCGTGTCGCGCAGACCTCCCGCTCCATGTCTCTGGTCGGTACTCCCCGCCTGCCTACCTCAGGGGCATCCTCTCCTCCTCCCCTACCACGCGCAATGTCAGTGCACATTCCGTCTCCTGCCACGGCTCAGGGACAGGCAGCAGATCGGTCCAAGAAGCCTCGTCTGACATCCTTGTGGTCCGGTTTATTCCGCCTGCGTGTATCAAGTTGAACGGCCTCCTTTTTTTCAGCATTCTCCTTTTTCTCCTTTCGTCTTCTTTTTCTATATACCAGTGCAAAGCACATTTTCCTTCTCGCTATATTCGGGTCGATATCTATCCCCGTTCTATTCATCTCTATCTACGTTTCTTGGTTACTCCATTTCGGCTTCTATCTATTTTATTTACCTTTACCTTTCCCGCTTGATGCGTTTTCTCAGCTGGTTTCCGCGATTCCGCTCCTTAATATATTTATCTTCCCGCGCATATTGCATCACATACATCAAGTCCTTCCTTTGCGTTTCCTTTTCTTTGCGCTTGCTTTTCATTTCTTGGGTTTCCCCCCCTTCCCACTGGCATGGGATGGGACGGGACTCACTAACAAACAAACCAAAAAAAAACATATAAAATTGATACTGGACCCGACGGACCGGATCCCGTCTACCATCTATCTATCATCTATCTATACAGCTAATATGTGTGAATTGGAGGTACTAGTCGTATCTATTCTGCCTATTTATATGTTTGGTTCTTGCTCTTTCTTGGTTGCCTGCTGCGTTTCGGGTGCCCTTTTGCATGTTTTTTGAGTTGAATTGATTGGTTTTGAGCCGTTGGTGGGCTCAATATGGATTTATCTATCTCTCTGTAGGAATAAAAGTGAATGAATGAATATTGGTTTCGGTTTCATACTCTGCTACTTCTCAATAATAATAGCATGTTATAAACTTAGGCTTTGACAATTTGATATCCATATCCCACCATCAACAAATGCCTCAATTGATATCACCAGATGATCACCTCCAACCCCACAACAAGTACGACCCTTACATACCCCTGATTTGCACCTCTGCACCATCGGGATTTGGTTTTATTTGCACGTTCATTTTGATATGCCTGACGTTCGCCGTAGGATCGATCGGCTCGAGCGTTGAAACGACGTGTCAAAATGCATAATTCTAACGCACTGAATATCAAATCCACACTCTTTACACCCTTCCCCTACCCCTGCTTGTAAGTAAGTAAGTATGTATCTTATATGCATCCCGTATGCGTCGATCAACCAGACATAACTGACACATATATGCAGAATATCACATACACCGATTCCATGGATGGATGAAAACGACGACCAGCGCCCTACCATCCATACCACGAAATATGAGTGAATGCTAGGATGAGCTTGTTTTCGGGACCGAGATATCACCGCAAATCAAGCATGGTTATATATCGCCAGTTTGCACGTCAGGAGACGCTGGGCTTTATGCAGGGCATGTCATAAGATGCGCTTTTTACGACGTCATATCAGCAACGCTTACGGGAGCGGTGAACACGCTCCTGTATCGTCTACGGTCTACTTCGTATACACTTCGCTCATATCGAATCTGAGATGGGATATGTACATACACGAAGAGCGATTCGACATGGCTTGTCATGAATGGACATGGATGCAACTCCCAAATTTAATTTTTTTTTCCTTTTCGTCCGGGAAGGAATATCGGTGAACAAGCATATACACGCATCCATCCATCGGTTTTGCAGGATGGGATAACTATAGTTAGGATGAATGAGCACTCCCTGCTTATCTTCATCCCGCGCCAAAACACTCAAACCAAACAAACACGCCGGCCGGTCATAGCGGACCACCCTTGTTAACTACATAACTAACTATCCCATCGCCAGTCCAGGCCAGGATTTGAGTTGTCCATGATCGTTGGCACTAAATATTGACGTCGGCAGTTTTTCCTAGCCCCGATGTCGCCATTCAGACCGTGTTTGCAGAGACGGTGAAATCCTTCGTATTTGCTGCGGGAAGCGCCTGCAGCTTCCAGATTCATCCGTTCTCGTCTGGCGGTTAGTTAGGCAGTCAAGTAAGGTCAGGTATCAAGAGATCCCATATGACTCGAGAACGGGGGCCAGGGCTGTTTGGCTGCAGACTGCTCTCCGACAAATGACACCCACCGCACCACTCGCTGCATGGCTGGGGAGGGGGGAGGGGGGAGGTCCAATGGCCAATCTCCAAGGAGATCGAGCGATCGATCGGGGGCCTTACCCGAAAGGAACAGATCCTTCATCGTAAGTCTCGATGGGCGCACGCGATGATTCAAGCATGCGGGATGCTATTGGATGGCCCTCGGTAACTAGACAAACAAGCAGCCTCAGGCACGTCTGCGGACATCGCACTCTAACTAGTTTACTAGTTTACTGTACGGAGACTACGGAGAAGACCTCGATCGACTCGATGCCATCTCCATCGAGGCGGTTTGAGAAAGACTGCGTGCTTATTTCTCTTTCTGGCCCCCTGGCCCCCTGAGATCAGGGGGATTCAACTCCCAGGATTCACGATCACATTTTTCTGCCTTGATACCCCAGCAGCATCATAAAATAAAAATAAATAAAGTCGAGAGCCGCCTGATTGCTCACATTTTGAGCGTCCCCTTTTTCTTTGCTTTTGCGTCCATGAAACGCAAGCAGAGTCTGGTGAAGCGGACTGTTGGCTGGCTGGAGTGAGAATTTAATGCCGACTAACTAGTAAGTTAGTTTGGGGACTGATATTTTCCCATCCGGAGCACCCTACGACTATTAATATTACCACTACACTAAATAATAATAATAACATTTACTTGCAGTTCAGGGCAGAGCGGGATGGTGGGAACGACCCACTCCTATTTTTCGCTCTGCCTGTTGCACGATCAGTTTCCTCCCCCCGTCTGCACCCTCGTTATCGAGTCCAGCATTATATCATACGCAGCAATCCGTACATATACGGGACACTCCGACGTGTGCGCCTTGGGACAAAAAAAAGGGGGTGTGTGTGTCTTACGGTGTACAGTGTATACCTTCCCGATCGGGCCAGCCATCACCCCCTTCTTTGTCGCCCCTATAACCGCCGTTGTTATAGGTAGGTATCAAACTGACTGCTGTAGACAGAGTGGTTCGGAGAAAGGCATTATATTCGAGAGTGACATCCCACGTCCCAGCCATTATATTGGATGGAGACAAAGCACCACCAACTCTTGGTCGGTCATCTTAATCTAACAGCACAGCCAATCTGCGACCTGAACAAGCATGAGACCAGATGATGGGACCCATTTTTTAAATAACTATCTTATGCGGTTCAACCTTAATGCGCTGATGCCCATACCAGATGCTGGTTTGCTATCTTGCTTTGCTTTGGCCTGGCAGATCAGATCACTCTTCGGACTTCTTCAGCGAACAGACACGGGAAGAAAGTCAGCGCAAGCCGGAAGCCAACATCTCTGATACGTTTGTTCCTTGATGCTGCACGCACCGAACCTTCTCTTCCTTGGTAGTCACAATAACCATAATAACAAACACGGGGTGAGAGGTAAGAGAGAGAGGGAGGGACAGAGAGATTAAGAGAAAAAAAAAAAAAGAACTCCTACCAACTCACTCTCCCCTTTATTTTCGTCGGCCGGGATCGAACCATATCTGCCGACAATCACTTTATATCATCAATGATCTATAAAGAAGCAAAAAATCTCCTCACACCATCCCTGTTCGTTTCCTATTCAAGGCCGCTGCATAAATGAAAGAATTCCGAATCCTGATCACGAACTGGGTCGCCAAAACTCCGACCCAGAATCCAGAGATGGGGCCATCCCCGAATTCCCCCCCCCCCTCCCTTGGTGGACAGATGCTCACTCGTGCTCACGCTGGCGCTGGTGCTCGGTCCGTCCCTGGCCTTGAACTGGGAAATGAAAAATTCAGCACCACCAGCAATCAGACAGCAAGCAGCAAAAACAGCCAGCAGCCAGCCAGCCCAGCAGAAGAAACAAGAGGAAGAGAAAAAAGCAACGAGAAACGCAAATAAAAGACCCGGAAGAAAGTTCTTCTAGAAATTCGCCTAGAAGACACTTTAAACATTGGTGCGGGCCTTTTTTTTCTTTTCCTCCTCGTTTCGATTCCCTGTTTTTGAGCGAGTTAGTTGGCTGGTGAGATGGCTTCTGGTGTCCTGCCTTGAATCCCGACGTCCTTTTTCCTCTTCTCCGTCGACGTCCACGGGGAGCGTGAAAGGGCCATGGCTGTACCATTTCCCGGATCGGTGTAAGGTGGAAGAAGGAGGGCCGCAAAGTTTGACATGTAGCTGGTAAGACATATACGAAGGATAAAAGGAGAAAATAAAATCCCCATGGCCCATTTTGCTGGATGTCGCATACATGCACTCGTTAACTAGTTGGTTAGCAACGCTTGATGGTAAAGGGGCTTAGCGAGTCGAGATACACAGTTGGTCGTAGTGTAATGGAACAAGCAGCAGCTAACAGGAGAGTGAGGCGTCCTCGGCCAACAAGAGCACAAAAATCAAGCAGCTGCTTGCTTAGTTAACTATCAAGGTACGGATGGAAGGATAGCCAAATAAACCAGCACTGGTCCGGAATGGCATATACGCCAGGTATAGATGGGTGTGCATGGATAGAGCAGAACAATCAATCATACCGTGCAGCTGTTTAACTAAGGCTAGTTACAGAGCGGGCAGACGGATGAACCTGATTTTTATTTTATTTTTTTATTTTCTCTTTTTCTTTCTTTTCTTTCTTTTCTTTCACACGTCTTTCCGCAGTTTCCGCGACTCGAGGTCTTTATATACGTGTGTGTTGTAGTCTGTTGGTAGTGCTTAGTTCTCTAGATGTTCCCGTGAGACAGGCGCCCGGTATTTCGAAGTAAGCTGAATTCGGCGGAGCACAAGAGGGAACGCCTATCGGCCTTTTTACCTGGAGATACAGTACCGCATTAACTGAGGCTGTGGAGGAGATTGAGCAACAAACCGATTGCAAAAAAATAATATTAATTAGTTGAAAAATGATGACCAGCCAGGAGGTAAGAAGAATAAAAAAAGAAAGGAAGGAAGAAAGAAAGAAAGAAAAAAAAGAGGGAAGACCAATATCCACCGGCAGAAAAAAGGATGCTGGTTGGGCTGCTGGAGTAGAGATGGACATGAGAGTCGCTGGGAAAAAGGGGGTTTGGGGAGTCGATAGGGCAGTTAGGGTGGTTCGTTGGGGGTTAGTTAGTTTAGTTAGTGAGAAGGAGAAGAAGAAATGAGAAGGAAAAAAGAAAGGCGACGGTTAGTTAGTTAGGTAAAGGGGCCACTGGGCCTTTCACTCTCGTCCGTGGTAGGTCGTTGGGGGTGGTTAATAATTGGACTGATAATATCAGAAGACTCCGTACTGCGCATCAAGTTTCCGGCACGATGGGTTAGGTTCGTTTTAGATCCCTGGGGTTTAACCATTTTGAAAAATGTACCCGTTACATTAATGTCTGGTTGTATTCTGGCTTTTGACAGTAACGACTGGACGGTTTGGTCTTTTGCATGTTCGTCCTTCCTGTCACACCTGATTGATCAAGTGATGGTGTTGGTTGCGTGAGGGCAGAGAGGCGAGAATACGTAATGCCCTACACATTTCTCTTCCTCTCGTTTGCCTCAGAGCAACTACCTTCATGGGATATCGGTGTTTGGGTGATTGGATGGTAGGTAAGATATTTCTGGTGGTAGGTTAGAAGTTGCTGGTGGGAGTGATAGTGGTGGTGGTGGTGGTGGGAGGCAAAGGTAGCCGGCTGGTTTCTAATTGACGCACGGAGAATGGCCATATCGTACCAAGGCATATCTCGGTGATGATAGGTGCACATGCGTAAAAATAAGTCGGTAGAGTACCTTCAACCCTTCTCCAGGTTCCACTCCCTCCCTCAGCTTAGTATTTCTTATTTCTTATTCTTCGTTTCTTCACCGAACGGAGAAACGGGAGAGGAGGCAAAAAAGGAGTATGACGAGACGAGTAAAAAGAGAGTTGTGGCTTGAAAATAGGTGTGGCGTCGTGTATGCATGTTTATATATGTTCCCATGGGCTGCGGAGTTCCGTCACCTCATATATATGCCCGCATATACATGTGTGGTGAGAGGGAGCAGTAGAGGTGGCTGTTAATTCCTTTCCGGGGCGCTGGTTGCGTAACGGTTCTGCACGTCAGACAGAAAGTAACTAAGGGGGAATAGTAATCAGGAAAATAATCAACAGCGATGCATACATTAACTAGCGAGTCTTGCATGCGTACGTCATGGCTGGGTGGGGAGGGGACTTAGACGTCGAGGGATAGTCGACATGCAAGTCACGCTCATGCTTCAAGGATGTGTCTGTATGTCAGTGTTCACGGGGGGGAGGAGGCAAAAAGGTACCAGCCCAACCCAAACTTGGTAGACGGTTAGGATGGACCCCTGGATCCCAGCGCCTTGGGACTGGTAAGAAGGAAGACGAAATCAAAATCAAAATCCGTCGAAACATAAAATAAAAATATTCGCCTCATCCTGTCAAACCATACTCGCTCCAGCTCAAGACTGGTCAAAGGTCAATGCCTGTGCTCGTGTCAGTGTCAATCTCAGCTGGCATTGACGAATATCTCTGTCAAAGCGACGTAAACACCTGCGCCGCCGTAAACATCTGTACGCTGAGAAGAGAAGAAAAGGGGGGGCGGTTGGATAGCGAATTCACTGTCCAGTCCCCAAAACCTCCCCCTCCCCCCCCCCCCCACCAAAAAAGAAGGCCCAAACCGAAAAAGCCTGGCAATGAACATCTCAAGTGGCGAGTTTTGTCTAAATAAGCACGGGGTTCATGTGCATGCTCTGCGAAGCGAATCAGGATTCTCTGCGGGGTTGTCACTCCTAACTAGGCTGGGGCAGAGAGAGGGTTGACGGTCCACCACCGCCCGCTTTCCACTGTTTCATCGATCATCTATATGCCTACCTACTAACCCTAAGCCTGCTCTGAAGAACTCCGTGAGTATATGCTCTGTAGGTGTGGGTAACGAGAAATGCAAAAGAAACGAGGTGACATGTTGCGCCAAGCGGATTGGGGCCCATGTATTGTATTGGCAGTGATCATGGCCCTGCGAGGAGAAGAACGTGTGGAGAGGAGCAAGAGATGCGATATAAGTATGCTAGCTTGTCGAGAGCAGAGCCGGTAGAAGTGCGGATGCGGTTCCTTTTCGTAGGAATGCCATGTGTCGTCCAAGCTCGACACCTCAGCCACAAGGAGGGAAAAAAAAACGTCCAGGCCGTGCAACACAAGATCAAGCCTTGCATCTCCGGTCGCCGTCTTCCGTCCCTTTTCCCTAGCCTCTCTCTGTCTTTGTTTCGTCCCCTGCAAAAAGCCTTTTTTTCCCTGCTTGATGCGAGGACTTTGCACGCCAAGACCGGCAGAATATTTTTACTTTTAAGCTTTTGGGCTTAAAATTAAAAATAGAAAAGTAAAATTTTTCATCAAGCGCACAGACGAGAGTGGACGAAGGAAGAAGGGGGAGGGACAGGATATGCAAGGGATAGACAAGAGGGAAGGTTGGAAAAAGGAAAAAGCAAGCAAAGCGAGATGATAATGGGTTGGGAAGCGCTGATCTTAGTCAGGGAGAGAAACAGACAAGAGGAAGAAGAAAAGAAAAAAAAAAATTCTTCGCCAGGGTGGTGGGGGAGTCGAGATAGGGCTGCATACGGCCAATCATCAGCGGAGAGAACGACGCTGGGAAGAAGGATACGAGATGCCATGTGTCCTGGGTGAAGAGTTTTTTTTTTCCTTTTCCTTTCTTTTCCCATCGATCGCATCTCTTTTGCATCTTGCGCTGGCTTCTGGCCCAGAGGCCCGTCGGCCCCGTTGCGCGCCGGGCACGTTGGTTCCAGGCCTGGACTCTGGTACGGAGTCAGTAGTTTAAACTAGGGAGCGAACCTGACGAGCTCTGGCCACGGCATGTCTTAGACAAAGAGGATCTCATGACTCGCTCGCCCTGCCAGCAGCCTGGTCGATATACAGGATGTCACCGGTGAAGAGCGAGCGTACTCCGTAGGAAGAATAGCGCTGGAGATGTAGCATCCGTCGAGCTCTCCATGTCACCTAAACTTGACCCTTGAGAGGGACCATGGGGCCTGCAAGCCACAAACCACCACAAACTGCCTGTCAATCTCTCCAAACCCCATTCCCATCCCATCGCCGACTCCATCAAACACCATCACCGCGCATGACTAGTTTGAGTTGGCTGCACTAGCCACCGTGGCTCAGCACAGCCTCACTTGTGGCCCTTCTCGTTTTCCGCACAGCAAGCCAGAGCCAAGCGCCGTATTCGGCAGCATTCAACCGATCGACAACGCCCGATCGTCATCGCGGCTCACGTTCTCTGCTCCTTTTAGCCGCCAGATGAGACAGATCGGGCACACGAAGCGAAAAAAAAAAAAA